CTTGAAACCGGAGATAGAGGAAAGGTCAGTCAGACCGGGATTTCTTTTCGTTTACTTGCTTTTATGAGTAAATGTAAAAAAGGAATTATTGTTGGCACTATCATATCATACTACCTTTAAAAGTATGAGTGCGAAAAAATCTTTTCATGATCAGTATTATCCTTAAACTTTTTAAGTATTATATTGTTATTCTAAGCTATTCTAATTATCTTATCTTCTTTGAATTAGTAACTAAATAATTTATCATATTTAAAATGAGACTTAACATGTTATTGGATAAAGAAAATACGTTTGATATAATTCAAATCATTTACTTATTTCAGTTCACAGAGAAATCTAAAAAACATCAGTATTACCCTCAATTTTTTTTAAGTATTATATTATTATTCTAATCTATTCTAGTTATCTTATCTTCTTTGAATTAGTAACTAAATAATTTATCATATTTAAAATGAGATTTAACATGTTATTCGATAAAGAAAATACGTTTGATATAATTCAAATCATTTACTTATTTTAGTTCACAGAGAAATCTAAAAAACATATGCTAGACAGCACCTAAAAATTTTTGGACTTTGTAAAAAAATCCTCCAAGTTTTTTAAATTGCAAAAACACCTCTACAAATTTAAAATTTTATTAAAACATCTTGAAAATTAAATATTTTACTTATTTCAGTTCAGTGAGAAATCTAAAAAATATATGCTAGCTAGAAACTAAAAAATTTTGACATTGGAGAAAATATCTTGTAAATTTTAAAAATTACAAAAACACCCTTAAAAATTCAAAATCTATAAAAAACACTTTCAAAATTTTAAACTTATAAACACACTAAAAACCTATAAATAACACAAACAAAGCCTAAAATTTTATGGAATTTGCAATAAACACTCTGAACTTTTTACAAATTGTAAAATAAAACCCTCAGAATTGTAAATTTATAAAAATTCTGATAATTTCTAATCTAATAGTACATTGAAAATATAAGAATTACAAATATCCCCTACATAATTTATAATTTAAAGAAAACACCCTTGAAGTTTCAAAAATTACAAACAAAACCTTAAAATTCAAAATTTACAAATAACACCCTAAGAATTTCAAACTCATTAGTAAATTGAAAGCATAGGAATTATAAATAGTCTATAAATAATTTACAATCTGTAGAAAATGCTTATAAGTTTAAAAAATTATAAAAAACCCCCTAAAATTCATAGTTTATAAAAAATACCATGATAATTTCTAACCTATGGACACAAAAATGAATATACAAAATTACTAACAACCCCTAGAAAACTAAAATTTTATAAAAAATATCATACTCACTTTAAAGTATAGATTTTGGAAAAACCTTTCATGGTGAAAATTACCCATTTGAAAAGAACATAAATGATTGAAAATCTATTAAATTTTAAATTTACAAAAAAAACACCATTAAAGTTTAGCACATTGCAAATTATCTCTCCAAAGTTTGAAATTTTTCAATGATTTTTTGTAATTTCTTGATTTCAATATAATGTTTAATAGTTTTGTGTATTTGTAAATTACAAAATTTTAGGGTGTTTTTTATAATTTTTAAATTCTTTTTAGGGTGTTTCTTTTGTAGTTTTTTAAATTTTTATTGTGTTTTCAGCGTAATGCATAAATACGCCAATTAATGATGATATTGAAGAGTAAGTCGTTCTTAAGATTATTAGGCTATAGTTAAGTGTACAACATATCACTGTTCCTAGACAGTGTAATTTATATATGTAAAATTTTCATATAAAAATTCCTTTACAAATTGAATGGTCACCCATCTTTTGAAGACTTCAATATACTAATAAATAGAGATGTTGTACTAGATTAATGTGTTTATAACTCACAAATAGTAGACCAGTCTGGATTGAAGGAAACAATGACGATAAGATTATTAGACCATAGTTAAGTACGTACATCACTATTCCTAGGCAATATAGTTTATATATGTAAAAACTTTCAGATAATCTATATAGTGGTTAAAAAGTTTTTGATTTAATATATTATTTTTTATAAATTATATTTAATGTGAACCCACCATATAATTTTGACTGTGGTCATCATAAATTTAATACGTTTGATTGATTGACTATAAACATATATAGACCATAGATTACTTTACCTTCTCATATGAGCTAATATTTGGTGCTTAATAATTTAAATTATTACTTTTAAATTTAATATAAAGAGGAGCTCTAATAACATTTATTTATTTACCTACAGCATAATACAATCTCAATTTCTATTTTTGCTGGAGATTTATTTCATAGTTAAGCGTATCAAATTAGTAACTAAAATAATAATTAATTATGCTTAAATTAGGATGATTATAGTTGGTCACTCACTATGAAGTTTTTATGAAGATATATACATTACTTTTTATAGCTATTTGTACTGTCCATGTATAATTTACAAATTACAAATGACACATTAAATTACTTTTTCTTTGTAAAAATTTCTTCTTTGACTTTTAGACTCTGTAATCACTTGTAGGCTGTCTAAAAATCACAATAGATAGCTGATCCCCATCAAGCTTCAATGATAGGAGTCACATATCTCAATGATGAAAGTTACAATCAGATGACTTTCATGTCAACAAATGAAAACTGCAAATGGAGAACTTTTCACATAGATCGAGAAGAGTTACAATTCAACGACACTTCCGACAACTGATGAAAACTCTATCCAGTGGTCTTCATAATCAACTGTAAGAATTATAATCTGATAACTTTCACACACCACAACAGCTAAAATAAAGATTATTGAACAATGTCCTTACAATGCTTTACAGAAGAGATTACAAGTCAACTAGCCCCTTCTAAACGTGGAATTCATCTTTGCATTTTAATCCTTGAAACGCATGCGACCCCCGCGTTTTCAATCCTCAGCAAACAGAACACGGGCGGCCATCGCATTTTTCAACATCCAGCGGATATCCAACTCCGCGTCTCTAGTCTAAGATGCGGAGTTAAGGTCTGAAACACTGATTTGGGCGTTTGACTCATTCAAACATGAGTCGAACGGTTTCAAAACCGTTTTCCCCCACGATTTGAGGAAATCACGCCTACTTAGGAGTGGATTAAGGGGGCAGTTACAACCCCTTATCCTCCTATAAAACCTCAACAAACTCAACAGAGAGGAGGTTCGGCGTTTAGGAGATTGGTGAGTGAAGAAGAGATTGGATTTCTCACAAGGAGAGCGTCGGCTGATTCTTCTTGGATTGTCGGCAACAAGAAGATCTGATCTTGGAATATCTTTCAGCAACAAACAAATCCACTTGGCTATTAATCGAATTTTCGGTTCAAACAACTCTTTTCACAGAGTTTCAACTCACTATGAGTTCTTAAACTCGTTAAGAGTTCTCCATCAAACTTGCCATACAAGTTAATTATTCCCGCGAGATAAGACGGTCGGATCGATAACGGAGAGCAAATTCGACGCGAGCATTCGAAGGAAGCACTCCATCACTGCTGTGAAGAACCCAGAATTAAACAAACGGGAGAATTTAGATTAATTCTCCTCTCTTTTATAATCGGGAATTCAAATTGTAATTAAGATCGAGAGAATAGAAATTAAATTTTTTTCATTTTATTTACTACAAATTTTCCACCAAACATCACTATATCACCATTTTAGCGTAGAAACATCCTCACTCTAAATGGCTTTAAGCCAATGTTTGAGTTGAACTGAAGTACATACTATTGCTACTATATGTATATATTTTTTAAGAAAATTATATCAACACTTTTTAAGTAGAAGAGAATATTCTAACATCTGATATTATAAAAACTAAATTTAGCCAATTGAGTGATTAGCAAAGGAGAACTTATATCAAAAAGTGTGAATAATAAGATAAAAAGAAAAGATAATGACATTGCCACAATACTACAAATAACAAACTACAATATAAAATTAACATATTTTGTGGAGCCCAACTACTAACTATAAGATTCGATGTTTTCATATATATACTTTATAATTTATTTAAAAATGTCATATATAGTAATATCGCTGTAATAATATCGTTATTAGGAAAAATTCTTCATGAATCAATATGTTCGTTACAATATATAAGTTATGCACTCCAAATTCTTATGTCTTTTATAGAAAGTTTGAATACGAGCCTCTAACATGTTGCTCTCACAACAACAAAATCCACTTAGCAGATGTGGATATTCTAGATGAGTTATGTATCCTATATACAATACAAGTGTCTTAGGCAAATGAGTTATAATAGCATTTTTTATTCACATCGTTTAGGGGTAAGATTTGATAGGGGTCTTGTATCAAAGAAAAAAAATTATATTTAGAGCACATAGCGAAATATATCATAATCTTCATGTTCTAATTTCGTAAGAAAACAATTCTTCATACTTTCAGTTTTACTTCTATGATACAGAGAATGAGTTATAAAATTGAATAAGAATATTAGATAATATAAGTATGAGTGAAACAATAACTAAAAGTTAATGTGAATATGAGTCAAACCACAATTAAAAGTTTAATGGACATATTGCAAGTAAATTCATATGTAAAATTCTTTTATGAATTGAATGATCACCCATCTTTTGAAGACTTTAAGATACTAATAAATAGAGGTATTGTATTAGATTAATGTGTTTATAACTCATAAATAGTAGATCACGTGGCCACAGTCTGGATTGAAGGAAACAATGACAATATTTTATGTAAGAGAAAGATTATTGAGTTGATGATCATCCCACAAAAAAATTATTTTATTATTTTATTTTTACTCTATTGTTATCAATTTAAATAATCATGATATTCAACCACGTGCATTGCACGTGCATCTCAACTAGTGGGTATCCAAAAGTGTCAAGGTGGGTGAGTAGTTGGGTAGGCTTTAAAAGCATGTAGTTGTGATCCTCGTGAGGGTGGACTATTCATTTGGGGGTTTGTTCTATTAATGGGTTAATTGCACGTAGACTCC